ATCGCAAGAGAAAAGTGTTTCTTTGGGGTATTAATTTGGTTAAAGAGAAAAGGGAAATGGGAAATGGGTTTTCTAGACAGTCAAAAGAGATTTTTCTTGATCGAACCCTTTTTGCTTGATAATGGAGCCCAAATTACATATTAGTCTCTGGACTAAATCTGTTATAACTAACTAACAACCCGTATAATATACTTTGACTGAAGGAGACTATTACTGACTTGTAAATTTAACCATCTTGCTGGGGTAAAATATATTAATTACAGTAGATATAAGTCAGTTTGAGTTTTAGGCTCTTGAAACATACGTACGAACAATAATGAAACCAAAAGCAATATATCTTTGTCATAATACTCCTAGCAAGATGAATACCTGCAACCTTCATGAATTCCCGCTTCCGAACCAGTCCAGTGGTGGTTCCAAGATTTGAAAGCCGACCGGGTAAAACTTATGTACTAAACTCGACGGTACGAATGAATTTCATTAATAAACATAAAAAGATACACATAGTGAGGGGGGACGTAATGTGCCTTACCCTCAAATGCATCTATATCTACAAATACAAAAAGTAAATGCAATGCAATGCAATACAAAACAACACTATTTAATTCTAAAATTTAACCCTATGAGGCTTAGAACTCTTAAATTCCTCTATTATGGATGCATTGTCAATAGTATTGGCAAACTCTCTTTTAATGTGGAGGATCATACAATCAGCAAGAAATTCATCACTTATGGGAAAGCTTGTTCCGTTGTTGCTGTAGAAATAGGAATAGTCAACACCAACCGAATCAACCTATCAATCAAATAGTAGCTTTCCTCCAAAGTTGTTTCCATCAATTGTTGACATAATTGAGGAAGAGTAGTGATTTCCTTAAAGCATGGAAGGCGTTTTATATCATTTTGAAAATACTTGAAGGTGAAGGTTGAGACGAAGAGAAGTTGAAGTTGTTGATATTTTCCAGAGGAGAGAGTTTGAGATGGGCTAGGCTGGTTGCATTGTAATTTTTTATTGCCAAAATTTTAGGACGGGCATGAGCCCAGCCAGCCCATAGCTGGAAACGCCCTTGAGTCCAAGATCATGACATAAAGTTTTCCAACCTCCAATGAGGACATGAATCTTGGTGACCTAAGTCTTGAACACCATTGGGTACTCGTTGCTAGCCATGTCATAAGTTGTTACATTGATGCCTTCTTTAGGGTTTTTTTTTTTTTTGGGTTTCCCAAGGTATCCCCAGGCATTGCCCAAACTTAATCCTCTGAGGTACTGTGTCGGGCACATATGCGGGGACCTCTCTCAAGAAAGTTTTCTGCATCCGTAAGGGTAGGGCTCGTCAATGGGCCGGGTCAAGCTAGCCCGGCCCAAATTTAATGAGCTTGGGTCGGGCTGGGCTGGACTTTTTTAGAAAATTCAAAGCCCAAGCCCATCTCATGAGCCGGGCTTGAAAAAGCCCATCGGGCGGGGCCGAGCCGAAATTGGCCTAAAAAATAATAAGTGTAAAAAAATATAATAAAAAATTATAAGGATGGTATGAATAAATATGCAAATGTTTGGTGATGTGTTAAAAAAAAGTATGATTATATTTGGTGGTATGATTATGTTTGGTGATATGATATGTTGTTTGTCTTATTATATATATATATATATATATTTGTTGTATTAATAAATGACACAAATTAATGTGCTAATCATCCAATTATAAACTAGGAATGAGTAGAATTCAATGGAAACAAACACAATTTTTATAACAAGTAACACACACAAAAAAATTAAAGAGGGGGATTTGTCATTTAAGTGATGTAATCCTAATCCTAAACCCTTATTTATACATAATTATATATGTATGCGGGCCTAACGGGTCAGGCTTTGTGGGCGGGCCGAGCCGGGCTTTCATGGGCTTAATCGGGCCGAGTCTATGAGCCGGGTCGGGCTTCAAACACCCAAGCCTAAGCCCGCCCCAAGCCCAAGCGGGCCGGGCCCTCTCAAAGCCATAACGGGCCAAGTCGGGCTTTTTTTCAATGGGCCGGGCGGGCCCCCGTAGGTCAATGAGCTCGCGGGCCAAATGATGAGGCCTACACAAGGGCTTGATGTGATTTTTGATGTCTCACAACAATGTTCATGAATCGTTAACATTATTGACAGGTTTATCTATTTTCACAAAATTAACGTGAAATAGCTCAACCAACTAAACTATATTCTATTAACTAAATTAAATTAATTAGCCAAATAGTTTAACTATTGGGGGAGATTGTTACCAAGGTATCACGGAGTTCAAACAAGGCAAGTCAATGTTGTTTTTCCACTTACCCGTTGGCTTATTTTATTTTGTTTTCTTAAGAATCCCAATTTCACGTCGTCGTTTCGCTTCGCTCCATTTAGTTTTACATACTGCCACCATCGAAGTCACCGAGCGGAGACAAAAAGAGAACTCAGATCAAAGCCAATGATCGGAGACGTTGAGAAGATGATCGCGGTGGGAAGCCCATACCGGGCCGGGCCGGGCTTTTTTTCGATGGGCCGGGCGGGCCCCCGTAGGTCAATGAGCTCGCGGGCCAAATGATGAGGCCTACACAAGGGCTTGATGTGATTTTTGATGTCTCACAACAATGTTCATGAATCGTTAACATTATTGACAGGTTTATCTATTTTCACAAAATTAACGTGAAATAGCTCAACCAACTAAACTATATTCTATTAACTAAATTAAATTAATTAGCCAAATAGTTTAACTATTGGGGGAGATTGTTACCAAGGTATCACGGAGTTCAAACAAGGCAAGTCAATGTTGTTTTTCCACTTACCCGTTGGCTTATTTTATTTTGTTTTCTTAAGAATCCCAATTTCACGTCGTCGTTTCGCTTCGCTCCATTTAGTTTTACATACTGCCACCATCGAAGTCACCGAGCGGAGACAAAAAGAGAACTCAGATCAAAGCCAATGATCGGAGACGTTGAGAAGATGATCGCGGTGGGCCTCGTTTGGGGCGCCACCAACGCCCTAATGCGCCGCGGCGCTCTCCTCTGGGACCAAGCCCTCAAATCCTCCTCCTTGGCCCAGGCCCAGGCCCAGCCCGGAATTCACCACAAGCTTCTCACTTCCCTCAAGAGCTGGCTCAAGCTCCTCTCAATCTGGCAGTACACAATCCCCTTCTTCGTTAACCTCTCGGCCTCCGCTACGTTCTTCGCTATACTCAGCCACACCCCAATCTCCTTGGCCGTGCCCGTCACCAATGCGACGACGTTTGCCGCCACTGCCGTCTTTGGGTGGCTCTTGGGGGAACAGACCCACCTCGGCCTCGCTTTGTTCGGTACGGCTTTGATCGTTTTGGGCATTTGGCTTTGTATCACGTAATTGGGATTTCATCTTTTCTGATTGATTAGGTAACACTTCAATTTATGTTTTCTGTTTGTATAAATTTATGCGTAGCTAGCTTGTTTTGTTTTGATTATTGATGTTTGAGTGTTTGGGTGCTCAGAAAAGAGGGGAAATCAAGAGGAAATTTTGTCATTTTGTTGAAGAATGATACTTCGTTTTCTCTATAAATTTATTGATTAAAGTAACTGAAATATAAGCAAAAGAATGACACAAATGTGAATGAATGGTTAACAAGAAGAAAGAAAAAAACACACTCTTTATTTGAATTACAGTAGAATAAAACATAATCAAAAAGCTCAAACACAGAAAACCAAAAGAAAGTTGTTTCAGTTGTGAACTGGAAGAAGAAAACTGGTTAAGGCTGCAGAATCATTCATCTGGTAGAAACGGGATTCGGGTCTCTTTATATAGCTTGATTTCGTAGCCTCAAATCAGAATTGTTGTATAAAACATTCAGGAGGTATCTGTCCATTGAACCTTTTAGTATCTTTGCAGTAGTCATAGATCATGAAGTTATCTCTGACCCACTGCAGCTGGCCCCGCTTAGCACTGCTCAGCTGGCTGTATATAGGGGAGGTCCACCAGTTTGCTGGGGAAGTGGTGCCGCATTGACTAATGCTGATGTCTCCGTTCCACTTGCAGGCTCTTGCCCTGAAGTTTTGGAATCTAGCCGTGAAGGGTGCACTGGTCCAATCTATCTTGACTAGCCCACCTCTAGTTGCCCAGTTATCAGCATTCCATAAGCTTGAGTAAACCCTCATCCCTTGCTTGTTGGGGTAAGCAATCCCCTGGTTTTCATAGTTTCGGAAAACACGAATTGGTAGACTATCAACATACCACCTGAAATCATAGAAGAGAATTTGAGGTTTAGGAATCGTTTGGTTCCATGACTCATGGAACTAGTAGAAATATACTGTGAAATCAGGTAGAATGATTTTGGTAGTGAATCTATCATGTTTTTTCAGGATCTTAAGGGAGATTGGGGAAAAATGAGCCTTTATTGGGGAAAAGCTTTTCAATTCAGAAGAGCAGTATGTATGCATGTGCGTCTCCAGTCTAACAGAAAAGGATGATTTTTCACCCTTTTGAGACTGCAAATGAAGGTGCCTCTACCGTAAGTTAACTTACACAATTTCAGTGGGGTTCCAATGTATGGTGTAGTTGTGGAAATCAGCAGTTGGGTCAAACCAGAGATAAAATTGCTGCTCCTTGCTTCCATTTCCTTGTGTATAGATGTTTGTGTGGACAATGTAAGGTTGTCCAGAAATGTTCCCCAAGAATTCAAAATCTATCTCATCATGTTTGGTTCCTGTTGAGGATAGCTGCACAAATTTGAGTATGGACAATTTGCAGATGTTAATTTATTATGCAGGTCCTTGTTTAGTCATCAATGGAAGGAGAAAGAATTTGAACTCTATTTGAAAAGTATGTGAAAGTGAGTTTTTCAACCCCTCCCCTGCCTGGGATCTTTTCATCCAGATTTCTATATTATCACCTTGAAAATAGCTGATTTGAATTAAGAATGATGAATCTGAGACACAAATTTTTAGGGTTTTTATGAAGTTTGTATCTTGCTCAAGTTAGTAACTTACATAGTAGGCTGTTACAGTCCCTGCGGAATTCCCAGGTACCAACTTAATGAGCATCTCAATGCTTCCGAATAAGAAGCCTCTCTTTGATTGAACAGCAGAACCTGCAAAGCAAAGGCAGAGTATTGTAGTCTGGTTAGAGGAGAAAAACTGACCTCTGTATGACCTTTTATTCATTTTGTAGATATTTCATCCATGTATGTATTCTAATGAATAGATGAGCAAAACAAATTTAGTGCAAAACATATCATGGATGGACTAACAGTTTATGAAACAAACTAATCTGCCTATCCGAAGCTTTACGGATACGTGCCGTATTTCAATCAACCTTTAACCTGCAACATCTTGATGATGCAGAAAATCTCTGTTTCCTAGCTTATTTATTTGCTTTGGTTTGAAAAGCTATGCCTCTGATTAAGCACCTGCATGGTTCTAACCTGAAAATGGATCCAGCACGAGGTTAAGATCCTCGCCACCATTGCCTTGCATTGTAGCATGCTGGGCACCCCAGGTGATATACATACTCTTGGAAAATTTTGCATCAACCAAATTTTGATGGGACACAATGATGCATAGAACAATCAGAAAAGCTTGCAAAACTGCCATTTGTAACTTCGGCCACAACTAAACTTTGCTCTCTTGTTTTATAACAATGGAAACGGGAATGTCTTCTTGTTGGTTTATATATAAGTTGCCGCACTACAATAAATATATGCTCTCACCTACGACCTGATCATAGTCTCTGACCTTCCATTTTTTTTAATTTTTAGAAGAGAACATTTAATTTTAAGTATGCTCCAGTTAAATTGTAAATAATTTTATTTGATTAATAATAAGTTAAATGCTATTTGGTACACGGGGTCGTGGTGCCAATGTCATCTGCTGTATTTTTGAGCAGGAGGCGACAGAGGGTGTTTAGTTGTAAGTGGGGCTTAGCTGGGACGCGTTGTTGTGATTAGGAGAGAGAGAGAGAGAGAGTCGTGCTTGGGACTAATTGTTTGTAGTAGGGTTGGCCAGCTGTGAGTTTGCTTAGACGTGCGGGGTTTCTAATAAAAGAGAGAGAGTCGTGCTTGGGACTAATTGTTTGTAGTAGGGTTGGCCAGCTGTGAGTTTGCTTAGACGTGCGGGGTTTCTAATCAAAGCGTATAGGTAAATGCTTTTAACTACTTGATTTACAAAAAGAATGTTGCATAAATCAATAGAATGCGTATAGAACAATGAATGTATATAATTGAAAGGTTTGCTTGGTGTATATACGTACATAAAACCCAAGAAGCAAGATGGTATGATCAAAGATGATTGATTAATTAATTAATTAATTCATTGATTGCTTGATTGATGATGATGGACTTGGAGCTAGCTACAGCCCTAATTTAATTAAGAATCTGCACCCAGTGACCCACGCTAGGCACACCCCGATAGACCACAAAAACCAGGTAGTACCCTGGCGGAGCCAACACGTTTGTCGCCGGGGCCACCACCTGAAGCTTGTAAACCCCGGGGCCAGCTTCTGTGAGCTCATTTTTACCCAAAACAAGCAACCTTTGGTTCATCGAGTACCCGTGCGTCGTGAACGGTGGCGAGTACATGGTGACCTTGATGTCCGCCTTGCCAACGGGGTTGTCTTGGAGCTGGAACTGGAGCGAGAACGGCTGCCCGTACTTCAACTTGGCGTCGGAGTTCTGAGCCATCACGGCGGGCCTGTGGGCTGCCAATGCCGGGTCAAGGTAAGGCGGCGAGAAGTGCTCGACTCTGAGCTCGGTTGGGTACTTGGCCTTGTAGTCGTAGCCTGGGTTGGTGTTGCTGCCTGCTATCAGGATTTTACCATTGGGGAGCAAGGCCGCTGTTGAGTGGTACATTCTGGCTATTTGGGTCGGGACTAGGTTCCTGAACCGGGCGCCCGCTTTGTTGTTGGGACTGTAAACCACGGGAGTGAAATTGGGTTGCTCCGCCAGGAACCATGCTGATGCGCCTGTTGAAAAAAAAAGAAGAAGGTCAAATTGCTACATTTCTTTAACCATGGTATTTATATCATTCTCAAACAAAATGATTTTTTGTATCAAATCCTAATATTAGATTACATTTTGATTATGACTATGATTCTCTTATCATACATAATTGAACACCTTGTAAATAAATGTGCAAAAAAGCTAGGTCGTACCTTGTTGGGCGCCGTTAATAATCAAGAGGTCTCCGGTGGGGAGGTTGAGCATATCTCCCATGACACGGCCAGAGGGCATGAGTTCGGTGGCCCACTGTGGATTGGGGTCTGTGATCCTAAGCCTGCCGCAGTCTTGCAAGGCCGGAAGGAAGTTCCCTTTGCCTGCAAGACCATAAGCCTCGGGCTTTGCGCCACCACAGACAATGACCTCAGCCGGGATGAGCGGAGCGTTGTTGGGGACGCTGAGGTCTATCGGCAGCAGCGCCGACATCCCTGATGCCGGGTAGTTTCGTGAACCACCCTTCAACACTGGAAACTCCTTGATGACTGTGTTGGTCTGGGTGCTGAGCAGGACGGAGCGGCTGTTGGCGAGGATGAAGAGGTTGCCGTCGGTGGACAGGTGGACGAAAGGGTAGAGGTTGTTTTCGTCTAAGTCGGTGGTCTCGTCGAGGAGTGGGAAGAAAATGGCTTGTTTGTTGACTTGTCCTTCCGGCGGCACGTACTCAAAGCTGTATGACTTGCGACCACCCGCCAGGAAGAATCTTCCATCGGGTAGGGTCACCTGAGTTGCATACCTATGATCACAAATTAAACAACACATATTTTTAACAAAAGTTTGGAAACCCTAAACCAATTCTTGGTGCTCAAGAAATTAAACTCAGAATTGTCCAATATATACCATCTTGGTTCTGCCAACGCGTTTGGGAGATCCCTATAGTCACAATTTTTGCATAAATCGAAGTATCTAACACTTCTTGTTCCATCCATCCAGCCACCAGTGCTGATGAAGTTGCCATCAGCTGTAAGCCCTCCTGATGAGCACCATGGGTCTGTAGTGATCTGTTGACGATCACCAAGGTCAGCTTTTGCTCATTATTGAAAATAGATTCATAATAAAGATAGAAAATTATCAAATTATTTGCCACACGAATGTGCGTGGTGATAAAATGCCCTATTGTTATATTGTCATACTGTGAATACGGAGCATTGATTGATATGGCATTATAAGATTGGTATCGAACCTTGAGTGGCCTAACATCATTGGTTTCAACATCATATTCAACCCCATGAGACCAACAATCTGTTTGCTGGACGCCCTTATCATCCTTGAAGGGAAGGCATTCTCCTCTGGGCAATTTGATGTTGGAAATATGAAAGGCTGAGGCATCGTACATCATGAGCTTGTTGTTTGGGAGCAAATTCAAGTGCATGGCTGACACACCTGCGTCCAATTTAACAACTTCCCATGCTCCCAAGTATTGGGTTGGGAAGTCGGGCTGTGCAGGTGCATCCACCACTGCTTTGACGGGATTAGGCTTATTGTCGGCCTTTGGAATCATGTCGGGAGCGTTCCCAGGCTTAGCAACATTAATTAAGCCGGCTTCAGCAGCCGTGGCGTCAGGATCACCCCCAACGGCAGCAGCTTCGGGATCACCCCCAACGGCAGCGTCAGGATCACCCCAAGCGGCGCCATGGTGATGGCCCCAGAGCCGGTCTGGTACGTGGAAAGGGTTGCCAAAAGGAACAGGAAATTGGGGGAAATGGACTAATTGTGCATTAATGCAATTGATGATGAAGAGAAGAGGAAGAAGGCAGAGAAGCTTGGTGTGCAAGGCAGCCATTGAAGAATCTGAATTTCTTCAATGACTCGTTGCCTGCTGGTGTGCTTCTCTAATATATTTTGCTTCCCTGCTTTTCCTCCCCATCTCTCTTTTATAATTTGGAAGTATCGCCACCAATCGGTTATGGGGTTCTGCAAAAATAGCATTGTGCATCATGCATGGTTGTGAACCCTTGTTTGCAGGAACCCCTAAAGTAGCTAGCAACCAAACAAAGTATATACTGTCTCATATGAACGGGTTGTCTCTCTTTTCCCATTTTGTATGTTTACTTAATTTTGAAATTTTAAAAAAACAAAACAACAAATAAACTTCGCACCACAGTTCATTTTAGTGGTGTAAATGCCTGTGAAGGAGCCATTTCCAGCAAATGTCAATGGCATCCATACAAGAGAAATTAGATGTTTTGGTAATTGCCCCTTAAACCCATCGTAAAGGAAAATTGCAAAATATATCTAATTAATTTCCACCTCATATTGCATTTTTAATATTTCATGTTGACACCTTAATTTAAAGACATGACGTTAAACGGTGCAATAAACAAAAGAAATTAGAAAGGTACAAGAAGAAAAATTAAAAAAATTAAGATTCTGTATGTAATTTTGCTCTTTTTGGACTCTGTGATTGTATTTTGACCGTGAATCCTTTAATTAAGATTATGCTCTTGTTCTTGATTGTCACGTTTGGGTTGTGTAATGACTTTTTTTGGTTATCCATTGTACACATCTTATGATATTTTTTTTAATAAAATATATTTTTCAACAAAAAAAAGGTACAATAAGAAAAAGAAAAAAAAACTCTACCTAAACATCCATATTTAGACATACATTTCCTCCAACATAGTTAATCATATATTTGTTATCCGTATTAATTTATGAAAAAAGGTGGAGGGGGAATAAACAACACAATTTGTTATTTGTATAAAATGAACCTATGTGATGCCTAACTCAAATGGTTCGAAAAATACACAACAAAGAGGTATAAAACCTTAAAGAAAAAAAGTCTCAGCCACGGCCCCCTCTGGGGTTGGTTGCCCTCCTCCCTCCCCTTCCCCTTTATTCTCCTATCATCCCCTCTCCTCTCCTTCCCTCTTTTTTTTTCTTCTCAGGATCCTTCTTTGTTAATTAGTTTGTTTTATACATGTGGAAGCAGCTGTCGTGATTTTGTCGCCATCGTTTGATCATGTATACAAGGATTTGGCTTCATTTGTCAACCTTCGACATAGTTTGGAGCTGCAAAGAGGGGAAGATGTCAAATTGGGTTAGGTTCGGGTTTAGCTTGTGCGACACTATGAGTTTAGCTGGTATGGCTTTATGACTCTCTTTGGGTTGCCCGGAGGATGTGGAGCGGTGATCTTGCTTCTTAGTTTGTTTGAGTCTAATAATGTTTAGGAACTCTTTATGAGTTTGTTGTGGTTTGTTTTTTTTATTTTATTTATTTTTAGTTTTCAACTTTCGATATATATTTGTCGTTTATGTCGTTGCACTGTGAATTTGCAAGTTTGAGCACATATGCTTATGGTTGATGAATCAAGGATTTTAGTTATTTTTGGGTTGTGCGTGTTTCTTTCATATCAATTCAACATGTTGTTGTGTTTAGTCATTAAAGAATATTTACTCATATTCTGCACCATATATAGTTGCTTTATACTTTTGTTTTGTTCATCAATAATAACTATATCGCTTATTCTAAATAATAAAACAAAAGAAGATTCTTATTTCTAGAAGCTGCACAGTAATTACTTGAGGTGGTAATTTTGTAATTGAGAACAAAAAGCTGTCGGGGTCCAGTGAAATAACAAACAGCTCTAGATCTTGTCCTTATATTGAACCAGCCCTTTGCCCGGTTGCCCAGTATACGTACTGAGAGGATGGCTTTAATCATAATTTGTTGGTGGGTGATTATTTTGTAACTGTATAATTAAGAGTAAGACAGCTAATGCCAATTGGTTAAAGTAGCTTTTGGAACAGCTTCATTCAAAGGACGCACGTTTGACCAAAAGGTCAACAATTACACGAGTTTTTTTGCTCTTCACTTTCTGTTTTTGTTTTCTTTTGTTATTGACAAAACTCTGGGAGAGATTCTGCTCAATGACTTTTTAGAAGCTATTAGCTATTTATAGTAATATTTCAGTACATTCTTAATTAATTAAGAAGCTTCTTGAACCAATTGACAAAACATATGCATAATGACTTTTTAGAAGCTATTAGCTATTTATAGTAATATTTCAGTACATTCTTAATTAATTAAGAAGCTTCTTGAACCAATTAATTGACAAAACATATGCATATATATATACAGTTTCTTTCTATCGAGGGCTATCTAGGCATATCGAGGCATTGTAATTCTTAATGAATTTGTATATGTGTGTGAATCTCTTTTGTGGGTGATGAATTAATGAATTTGTATATGTGTAAAACAATATCCACCTTCATAGCTATAAAATATTGTTTATTCAAAAGCAAGAAATAATTGAAATCAGTCAAATGGCTGTTACAGAGTTGAAATTACTTAGCCCTTTTTCGATTAGGTCCATACTACTGTTCGCCAAGATAAAGAAGGATTCCAGAGTACTCGATTTTGTGTCAACTAATCAGATCTTTTCATTGATTGACATTAAAACAGTTGCTTCTTCCAGTGTTTTTCACATTACGTACTAGTGGAATCATTGACAGCTAATTTAAACCTGTAAAAGTGATCGATGGATCTTTAGTATAGTGGTAACTGTCTATACTTGGTTGGAATGCAAGAACGATATATTTATAAAAAAATTGATTCCTAGTTGTGGTTAGCCCATTGTATTAGCATAACTTTGTTGTGGGGGTGTCAACCTATTATTGTTTTTACCTACAAATTAAACCTTGGGATATTATCCATTAATTAACATTGGGATATTTTCCAGTTTTCTTGGGAACCCTAGCTAATATAAATGCATGACTAAAGGTCTTGAGGTTGTTCATGAGAAAAAACAATATGATTTCTCGCCATCATCATTGACACTGATACTATTAACTAGTCTGCTTGATTTGTTAATTATACCATATATCACCAATAAACCTAGAAAGAATCTCGGGAACCTAATTAAGATCATGGAAGATCTGAAGCATTTAGTAGAGCTAGATCTTAATTACATAGCCCAATATATATATGCGTGAATTTGAAACCAAATTAAGATTACACTGTAATCAATTTATTTGCTAGGATTAGAAGAAATAAAGAATGCTGCTTCTATAAATATAGTTGTTCTTCTTGGATAAGCACAAATTTCTTGATGTCAATTGATAATACATACCAAAATGAAGGATTTCAAATTAACCACAAAAGCATCTGGTTAAAAGAAAAACCACAAGAAATATAACAATATAATCTTCTAACTAAAATGTACATGCAATTTAGGTCGAGTATAAAACACAAGATTCTCCACTTATATTTTTTGTACTGATATTGTGCTCATAACCGAAAAAGAGTATTACTGTATATGAAAATATATTATTCGATCCGAGAAGATGTCTAAGCTGTCGTTCTTACTTTTACCTAACATCACTTTAATATCCACTTAGTAGCAGTTAATCAGTTTCCTTAGCACATTTTCTTTCTTAATTAGATTCCGTCCTGTCTTTTTTATCTTCTTTGCGAAAGTGTACTATTTGAACAGTAGGACTTAGAGAATAGAATAAGACATGAAAGTTCTGCTATATATCTGTATGAATGGAAGAAATTGTATAAGATCTACCTGGTATTTGATGGCAATTAACGATTTGAGAAGAAAATTTCATCATTGTATTATGCAGAAAAAGTCAATAAACTTGCATTACATGAGCTCTTTTCCACGTGAAAATGAAAATGAATTTGTTGCAATTGCCTGCAATTGCCTTGCCCAACTTGAAGCGCCTTTTTGATCAGCTCGAAATTGCCAAGTAAAAGCATATTGTTCTAGTTGCGAACTCATATGCATGCACTCTACTTGTGTTGCAAGAAATCAAGAACACTTAAAGTGAGAGTCTGAGCTCCAAATCTAGCTCTTGAGTGTCACTTGATTCAGAGTTCTGACTGCTTGAACCCATCGAGCTACTTCTATGTTTTTTGCTCTTGTTGTGCTGAGAGTCCTATACATAATAATAATAAGATCAAATCCAAAAATGGGATCAACATTATATATATAACAATGTAGAATTGATAGACTAAGAGATTTGTTTTATTAATCAGAATGTCAAATTATTACTATAGCGTTTTTAATAAATAAATAAAAAGACACGAGTACAGCAAAAAGACTACAGGATGCAAGCCTCATTAAAACCTTGCTTTGGATGATGTGCTACTTTTTTTCCTTGACTAAATTATACATATTTGATAATATAACGAGTGCTTACCTCTACTGGAGGCGGATTGAGAAGGTGTCTCGTCATGCTTGGTTGCACAAAATGTTGGGTGTCCAAGATGGCATTACTGTGGACGTCCCATCTGGTTTTTGAGAAATTTCACGAACGAAATTATTATTAGAAACAAATTATTGATTCAGGAAAAGAATTCCAGCAAGTATAAGTATATACGCACCTTGCTGTTGAACTGTGTGGGGAATTATCTCCACCATATATGATATTTGCTCTTTCATATTCACCAAGCCCCATCTGAAATAACAAGAGATTTTGAGGGGTTCTTACTTAGAAACTCTACAAGATTCATTAAAACCCAGATCACAAAATTCCATTTCTTTTTGCTTAAGCATAATTTTTCAGAAAGAAGAGAAAAAGTGAGAGTCTCTCTTGTTAGCCAGGGATGACGATGAGGATTTGGATATCATCTAGCTAGGGTTGGAGCCAATTAACGAATAAAATTAAGAAATTAAATTCCAACATAAGAGAAGTCGATAACGATTAATTTGTCGATAGATTTCCATATGCAAATTAAGAAGTCTCCATTTCCAACTACACGGGAAAAGAAAAAAGAAGAGAAATATTGCTCCAATTGGGAACAAATTATGTCAAATTGGAATCATTTGATGTTGTTGGTGATGATGATGGATGAAGTTGGATATGACTTCATGAACATTTATATATATCCACTTATATATATATATAT